GGCTATTTGTGTTAGCGCGGTGGGTTAATTGCGACTTTGATCGCTGCGTTTATTGATCCAACAGTGGCCTTAGGAGCACGGCTGGCCTGGCCTGCCTTGCCTGCTCCTACCCCTGATCTCAAACAACCCCCCTCTCCACCGCCCTAGAACTACAGATGGGGTCTAAGCCATGCCAAACTAGTGCTGAGGATCCACTTGAACAGGGTGGTCATGACTACTCTGATGTGATAGCTGAGGTATGAGAATGGCTAAGAACAAGTAGGACTGGGTGGCTTACTTTATTGTGCAAGAGATTGTCTGTCTTTTTGGGAGTGGTTGAATTTAACTGAATGGACAGGCTGAAGGTACGATTTGAGCTTCACTAAACTTAAAAAGATGTATGATACAGCTGTGAGCTTACTGAAAGGCCTTCACATACAAAGCCACTTGGACTGTAATTTGGTAAAAAGCATGAAATAGGATTGGATTAGTTTACCTTTTTGACCAGATAATTATGGGCTAGCTGATGTGAAAGGGTGTGTTTATGATATGCAGTATACTATTAGGTCAGGTTGGATCAGACAGTGATAGACTACAGATGTAAAAACCTTTAAGTGGCTTAAGCAAAATTTCACTGACATTTGTGTGGTGTGAACCAATCAAGACGGCGAAACCAAACCTCAGCTGGTCTGATTTGCCCTGTCTTTTTGGCGTGGCCTGTTCTTCTGTCCAAAAACAATTACAAAATAAATTCAACAATTTAACCAGAATCAACTCCAAACAACCTTTCCAAAAAAAGTTTAGAAGATCTGGGGAAATACCACACATCCTTTTTCCTCACCAACTTTTAAAACATCCCTATCTTGAAATTGTAGCTTCTGTGACAATTTTGTACTCAGTAAAAATGTTGCAGTACATCAGAGTTTTATCTCAATGAAAATCACTTCCAGATCTCAAGGTCTCTGAGGTTCAAGACATTAAAGACACAAGAGAATCTGGGTGAGCACCTCTCCAGTGCAGCGTGCTGAAAGGGGTCAAATTTAAGTGTGTCCATAATGACTGTGAGGTCATCAGAGTATTGTCACAGCAGCAGATCATGGAAGGTGATTCCCCACACACACACACGCACACGCACACGCACACACACACACACACAAACACAAACACACACACACATACACACACACAATAAAGCAACTGACAAGGAGTTTTTGTGTGTTTAAACATACATATCTACAATGGTGGTGTGTGTGTGTGTGTGTGTGTGTGTGTGCTTGTGTTACATCAGCTGACACCAGAGAGGCTAAGTGCATAATCTGGAGAGAATGTACAGCCTTTATATCACTCTCTCTCATTCAGTACCTGCCCTTGATTCCTTCTCTGTTCTACTTTCTATTCTTCTATCTATTTTCTCGTTGACTAACTTTAGTTTTGATTGAATATATAATACCTTCTCTCTCAACTGTCAAGTTTGAAAAGTCAACCTAATAAAACAAGGTGTTTTAGGTGGCATGAATTAATTACAAATTGTATGGAAATTTGGGGATTTGAGAGACACAGTGGGTGAGGTGTGGAATGAGAGTTAGGTCGGATGGAGGGAGGGGGCAGAGGATGAAGTAATGTTCCTGCAGAAGGCGCTCCAGTCGAGGGTCAGATGCTGTTCATGGAAACCATCTGGCCAGTTTGTTCTTAGCCACACCAAACATACACATGATCCTCTATTCTATCTCTCTCTCTCGCGTTCCCCCTGCCTTCAAATGCACCCTCTGCCCATTTTTTCTCCTCCGTCCTAACTTCCTAACCTTTCCATCCTTTTACCTTTTCTACCCCACTGCTTTTGCTCCTCTTTTTCTCTCTCAAAAATATCCTACTCATTAATGCATGGCAGCTGCAGGGAGCAGTGTTACTTCATTTTTCCATGGCAACGGTCTCTCTGTTTCAGCAGATCCCATTTCAGTTTTGGTAGCAACGTGCTTCTTTGCCAACACTGAACACATTCATGTGTTAAATAGAAGGAATTATTGCAAAATTCTTGAAATAGAATAACCATCCTAATCACTTGCAATTATTATCGAGGCCCATAGAGAACATGGGTGTCCTTAGCTAGAATGGGCCAGAGAAGGGGAGATGACAGGAGGAAAAGGGTACGGGTGAACAGTGGGGGAGAGGGGCAGGCAGGTAATAAGCAGAAGACAGAGAAGAACATAAGTGGGAAGAGCACACAATGTAAAGTGACAAATTAAAAAGATGCACTGCATGACGCAACACAGCAATGACCTAAAATGACAAATAAGTTAAAGCAGAGGGTCAGAACTCCAAGGCTGAGGGCAAGTGGCCATGCAAAGATCTGCCAGGTCACTCTGGCCAGGGCGAAAATTGCGGCACTGTCCCTGAGCCCTAATGTGAAGTGACTACTAAAACAACACCACCTACACATATGAAAGCTTTGCATGACCACAGAACTTAGCTGTCTCTTCGGAGAACACACATCCCTGTTGTGTTGTATGATACAGTATGTCAAGGAGACCACCCCACCTTGGATGTGAGGGCCTTGGCTTGGCTCTTATGTCCCTCTGACCTCACCAGCCCTGTGGCAGTGATGTGAGAAAGCCACTGGTGCTTTGGCTACAAGTGAGTGAATTGATTTCTGTCTCTGTCTCTCTCTAATTTTCTCTCTGTCATTCTTCTATCTTTGTCTATCGCTCTTGACCATCACAACTATTTAAGACTGTGGGATCCCCATTTGCAGTAATTCTCAAATGCAGGGTTTCCCGCAGTGCTTTATAGTTAAGGCGGCCGCCTTGACAACAACAGCCCCCCGCCTTGACTACGTCCCCCCGAAAATAAATAAATAAATAAATGAATATTCCGCATCCCTGCATGCATAGACAGTAGGTTAAAATAAGGCCGCATCGCAATGAGGCGGAATAGCGGCATCTGTAGGTTAAATATGTTAAGCCATCTATCATCTGCTGTAACTGCGTGGCAAGGCCAACATTTCTTTTTTATCGGGAATGGATTGAGAATAATATTTCTGCCATTTTCACTCCTTGCAAGGTAATGAGGTGGCAATGCATCAGAATCACTTCCGGGGTTTGGCTGAAGCACACAGTTGCAGTGACACTCAGATGATGATGATCTACGCTTGTATTGTCTTGTGTATGACAGGACATCACCTATCAAAGCTAACAATATCTGTCATCGAGCAAGACAAATGTAAAACATATGTACTTCACCATTTCCTTTCTTTATTGTTAGCATTTTCTTACCTACTTGTATTAAAATGAACCCACAGTCTAGGATCTTGACAGGACCTCTACTCTTTTCAAAACAATTTACATAATCGTTAGCTATCTTGTACCTCTACTTTGTTTAAACAGCATTAAGCTGTCTCAGCAACTGTAGACTAAAAAAGAATACAATAATGAATATTGAATTACACTTTTGTAACCCAGACAGCTGTTTGTCTGTTTGCACCACACTAAAATAAATGGAGAGATTTGAATTTGGGGATATCCAAGGCCTGGGGTACCAGCTGTCAGTTAGTCCAGTTTAGTTTGCCCCTGCTCCCATGTCAACAGGACAGACTGTTTCCTAATAACTGCTGCAGAACATGGTGTGGTCCCAGTTGCACGGCCGAAGGGGACAGAGGAAAGTGGAGGCAATGACGGGCTTAGCAAACTATTAGAAGGTTGAGTTCATTTTTTGTTCGAGTACTGTAAACAGCTCAATAGCCTAACATGGGAAGTGGGCTCTGGAGAATGACTTAAATTTACATGTGTCATGTTCTCTCATGTTTGGCTGACATGAGTTTGTGTGGTCCTAACAATAAGAATTAAGATGAAGTATGAATGGTTGTTGGGCTTGTTAATGATTGGCTATTTTTAAAAAAAAACTAACATAAAAGACATATATATTCCAATTAAATACTAAATTAGCTATTTAGTGCACTTTGAATTACCTCTAATGCGAGTATCCATGTTACCTAAACTAAACCTGATGATGTCTATCATCCTGTGATGAATGGTAATGGTATGAAAATTGGAACCACTTATAATTGTTGTAGGGATCTGACCAATAGTTTGACCAATGGTATCAATACAAGTGTCTAATCATAACAATATGATTTGATTGGTAAATGTGGCCACTACCTTCAGTCCAGCAATGCTTGCACATTGTAGACAAGCAGTCAAAAATTAATCCAGCCCACCATCGTCCAATCAAAATGTACCACATGAGCACACATGTGTGAATGCTCCATGCAGTCCTTACTGCATAAAGAGGATCCTTGTTACAGAGTTGTCTGGCTCCTGATTTATTTCTGAAGGTGCTGGTTGTGATGGGGTCAGCTAACTGGCCCACGTTGGGGATATTTAACTATCCAGTAAGACTTAAACAGATGAAAAGGGACATACAGCCAGCCAGCCAGTCAACCAAAAAGTCAGTCTGCCACAAAGGGACATGAGACACTACGTATGCATCTGTATGTAAAACAGGCTAATAGGCTAACAAGTTACAAAGGTTTGTGGAAGGCATGTGCCCACAACCACAGAGAGTGCTCAGCTTGGGTGGGTTGAGCTAAACCTCAATACTTAATTGTAACAGAGGAGAGAAAGAGGTGAAAGGCTGCTACCAGATGTGTGCGCTAGCCAATAGTGTTTAAGTCCATTCATCCATACAACAGCTATACCTGTTTATCCATTAAGGGTCTGGTGTCCATCCCAGCTGATACTTAGAGAGAGGACACCTTGGACAGCTAGTCAGCTTATCATATGGCTTACATATAGGGGCAAATAAACAGTCATTCTATGATTATCCTAAATGAATGCCTTTGGATTTGGGAGGGAACCAGAGTAAGAAAACACAAGATATACAACTCATATTTTTTATGCTTCCATCTTGCAGACCCCTCACAGATAAGCAATATCAATGTAATCCTTTCCAAAATCAGACATGTAGAAGAAATAATTATCTTGCTATACACAGGTAGAACAAAAACGGTGGAGAGTATAGTTTGATACCTGAACAGTAAGGCGTTTTACAGCATCCCAGGTATGGGCAATAAGCTCCTTCATTCTTTCCTCTGAGGTTGTCCATGACTCTGCTGCTGTGGTGTCAGGCATCACCTTCATTGGAATGGACAGGGGACGTGATTCTGGGAAAGAGAGAAAATGATAAAGACAATGGACATTGACACAGCGTAACTTAAACAACCATTCATACTCCAGTGGTTTATTATTTCTAAGTACAGTGGGTACCCAGTACTGATGTAGTTTAGACTTGTGCAAACTTCTGGACCTGTGGGAAAAAACCCACAGAAGTAAGAAAAAGATACAAAAACTAACATTTCATTCATCAGAGCATTTATCATTTTACTGCAATCTCTGCATAATACACTGTTATTGTCATTTGTTGTACAGTATCATGTTATATGATGTTTAACTGACACTTCATTGAGGTGATGTAATGTTGGCAGGTTTCTTGTGTCTAAAAGTGGATGAGGGAACCGTAAGACCTGAGTCACACACACACACACTCACACACACACACACACACAGTGTGTGTCCTAGACATGACATGTACTAGTACGCCTGCTGTGGTCCAGACGAGAGCCGAATGTCAGACCTGACACTCATGGAAAACAACCAGACATACAAATCACACAGCAACAGCCCCCACTTCTAGCCTTAGCACAAACCATATAAACCTGTAGGTTGAAAATAACCTTTATTGTCTAAAATAAATAATAAAAGTTCAGAGAGAGAAGAGCGACCAACAGAAAAAGACGAAACTGGGCGTAAGAGAATTATACAGAATCGGAAAGAGAAGGACTGTGACAAAAACATTAAGACAGACACATTCTACCAGGTTAACCTGAGGCCTGTGGATGTTAAAGCCATCAGGGCATCAGAGGTGAAGGAAGGGACGTCTCTCTGAAGACACATTAAGACATATTCCATGAATTAAAAGTCTGCCTTGCTCAGCAGCTCTATCCCACAGTTGTCATGAAACAGTGCACAGCACCATCATGTTTCCTTAGATACCACACTCACGAATGTCACTGCAACACAAAAATGGGTTGGCATGGCAACAAGAGTGTGTTGCCATGGTTATGGTAACATGCCAAACACTTGTGTGAAAGCTGTATGTGTGTGTTTCTAGGCAAGTGACTTATACTCACAGGTGTGTATATGTGTGTGTGTGTGTGTAAGAGCATGAGAGGAGATGGAAAGGCCAAGCTCATCATGTCTGGGGAAGTTTTTCACACTAAGTATCCACGTGCCTCTGCCACTTGGGGACTGTAAAATAGACCATATTTGCCATGATGCCTACAGTCAGTGGATCATTACCTACTAAGCACAGTACTTGACAACACATATTTTCCATCTACCTTCTCCCACGATCTTATTTGTCAGTTACAGTGTTTATGTGAGCAATGTATAAAGCCATGTTCATATCCTTTCATTTATCCACAAAGTCACAGATGACAGCAGGAAAGACTTTTGACTTTGACAGGAAAGCTTGTGTTTCATGGACTTTCACTGAGAAATGTGATTAGAACACTGCATAATCATCTGCTGTGATATCATTGGGTCAATAGTGTTCTCCTGCAGGGTTGGGTATTTTTAAGTATTCCTGCCACATTGCATTAAAGAGCCATTTCCTATTCAGCTCAGCTGGGGATCCATACAGACATGACAGAGCTCTGTCGCTCTCTGTCATGTTGCCCAGCTGTGTATACCAGGAAAACTACACCAGGGTATTTGACTGTGTGCTTTTGAAAATTAGGCTACATGACCATGCAAGCTTAGGGGGTACAATGCAGAGTACAATATGTGGATTCAGTAAGTATTACTTTTTGCTCTTTAATGTGCTGTATATTTATTTTCAAAGGGGTCAATTTCTGTTTTTCCCCATTATTCTAAACACATTAATCCATAATGACAAATTGAAAGTTTGGTGTTTAGGTGTTTTAGGTCACTAAATTTTTTCCAGTTGCTCAACAAATTGTGGTCAGGTCCAGCCTAATGTAAATTTAATTTACCTTCAAATATGTCCACAACATGACTGCAATCCCCCTGTGGTAAATTCAGTGGACATAGTTCAGAAGGGCACACACCATTAAGTGCAAGGAACTCTCAATTTCTGATGAAACTGTGTTGAGGCATTGTTTGGAGCATTGTATACAACCATTTCTAAAGCTTTGAGTTTTCCCAGGAGCACAGTGGCCTTAATAATAAAATAAAAGAACAGTTAAACCATAGGATGCTTTGTAAAGTTGGCTGTCTGGCCGAACGGAGGGCAACAAAGGCTTTGGTCGCAAAGAGCTCAAAGGTCACTCTGCTACAGGAGATCCCACAGGAAGGCGACACTTGCAATAGCACGTACTCAATTAATCCAGGCTTTTATGAAAGACAGGCTAGACAGAAGTCCGTCTTGAGTAAAAGTTACAGTATATGGACTTTAGGAGTTTTTTTTTTTTTTTTTATGAACATGTTTTTATTTTGTAATTTTTCATTACTGAACAGATGGGAAGATTTGTCGACTAAAAATCTCTATCCCTATAAAATGTTAAGATTGAATATATTCTGAATCTACTGTGCATTATGCAATCACAGAAATGTACATTTCATTTTGCATAACACACAGTAAGCATCACTAGAGATGTAAATGTGGCCATACATTAACCACGGGCAAAAGGAAGCCATACGGAGTTACAAAAATTACCCTTTAATTCATCTTATAAGATGCTGACCTACCACTGACCATTCATCTGAACTCAATTCTACCTTAAAAATGTATAGACATTTTTACTTTCTGGCCAGGCCTCAAAAGTGGCATTTGGGGGGTAGGCCTGACTGAGAATGTCCTTCCCCAGAGAAAATCTGCTAGGCTAATCACTAAGTGGGCTAAAATACAGTATAAGCAGAAACTATTCAAGACCAGTCTGCACACAGCTCTCCGTTTAGTTTTAAATACCATTCCAGGACTCTGTTTGTTAATCCTGGGGTCGTTATTTGGAATGAAACTGCCATATCTTGTTATAGTGACTTGGCGCCTGCCATTTCTGCAGAGAGCGGGTTGAGCGAGAGACAGGAAGGCAGGGACAGAGAATGAGAAAGACAGAGTGAACAAAAGAGGACTAAATTCAAACGAAAGAGAAATATGACAAGAGCGCCCAAAGCTCTTAAACCTGCCCAGGCCTAACAAGTCCTAAGAGTCCTCTTAAAGTGGGGTTATTCCCCCAGCCTTGTGCCATATCAGCCATGTCCTTATATTCACCCTGTATTAGGCCATAAGGCTAAAATCTTACTGGCCAAACTCTGACCATACACTTCCTGCCTCTGTCTGCTGCACCCAGTTGCTCCACCTCTGGCCTGAGTCATGCAGAGGATTCAATGCTGTTGTGAACGCATCTGTGCGGAGAACCTCCCACTGTATTGTGCATGTGTGAAAGGCAAACTCTGAGTAAACTCTGTAGCTAATTCTCCACATTTTAACCACGGGCATGTCTGAAAACGGCTTATTGTTCAGCTGGTGTGTGACGCTTCAGTGTTGTGATGGCAATTTTTAACAGCTCCATCACTTCATCCAATAAGTAAAAGTTAGGATCTTTTCAAGCCCATAGCTTTTGTCAAGTGATGAGAGAAAACACGAAGACCAGCCCCATTACAACACACTGACTTTAGGGCGAGAAACAAATCAGTGTTGCCTCATTACATGATGTACTACATAACACCACCACCATTGCATTGTAATATGGCTGTAAAATGTGTGAGGGTGTGTGGTGTGGTTAGTGTAAATCACACATCATACTCATGTGCAACTCACCAACGAACACACACACAAACACACACACACTCACAGTCATTCAGTCAATACTACCACCATAACAGCACCAGTGAACTTTCACTCTAAATTCGAATCTAATATATATCTGTCAAATCTGGTGAATATCTTCTCACAGGCTGCTGTCCATTATGAATGTGTGTTAAAAAAAATCCAGTGATCCTTCTTAGTCTTGGCACTGCAAGAGAAACAAAGTGCCTCAAGCAGCACATTCATGAAATCCTCAGAGTAATTGTCGGACCTTACACTTGTGCAGTGGGCCCTGGGTTCCTCCTGGTGCAGGACAATGTCTGGCCTCATATTGTCAGAGTGTGTATGCAGTTCCTGGATGACAAAGGCATTAATGCCATTGACAGTTGGGCACCTTTGGGACGTTATGTATCAGTATATGCGCCGTCGCCAAGTACCACCACAAACTGTGCAGGAGCTCACTGATGCCCTGATCCAGTTCTGGGAGGATATCTCCCAGGACAACATCCACTGACTCACCAGGAGCATGCTCATATGTTGTTGTGAGTGCAAACAGGCTCAATGAGGCCATACTCTCTACTGAGTCACAATATGAGTTACCGTAATAAAAGTCACCCAGGTTGGATCAGTCTTTGATTCATTTTTACTTGGACTGTAGGCTTCAGTGGGTTGATGATTTTGGTTTGCATTGACCATTGTTAAGTCATTTTGTTCTCAACAAATTATACAATGTACATCAGTAAATATTTTTAACTTTAAAAAAAAAAAAAATTTGTATATCAAGATCTGATGCGTGATTTCAGAGTTTTTATTAATTTTAGTTAGTGTAGACAGTGCAAATTGGAAAGAGATGAAGGAGTTTACCTTCCATCGTCCCCAATAGCGTAAAAGGGTTTTGAATGGGATTGGTTTGAACTGCAAATGAGAGATCTGTGGCGATGCTTAGATAAGTGCATGGAAAGTAATTAACGGTGGTGGTGTATATGCCTCAACATAATCATATCGACAGAGGATGGCTGAGGAACAGTCAAAGACTAAAAAGTCAGAAGAAAACAGCGAGAATGAAGGTGGGGACTGCAAAGTGGACAGGGAATGAAATTTAGCCTATCCATAAGGTGCATATCTTGACTGGTACCCAGGTCCGGTAAAACCTTAAAAAAGGTTATGGATTTTTTGATGGTTTTGATGGCCCACCAGTGCGGCTGGCCACCAAGATGTCCCAATGGCCAGTCCTACTATGATAGAAAGACTTCTAAAAGTTGAAAAGCATAAAGATGGATGGGTTAACTGCTCTGCTTGTTTCGGCTAGAAAGGTGGGTTACACTCATCTTGTTG